ATTATAAATAATATTTCTATCTTTAATGAAAAGCATTTTGGTTAGAAATAATTTTTGGGAAGAATACAAGTTAATTTATTGACAATAATTTTAATTATAATATTATTAAAATAGGACAAAAATCGATAGGCCTGAAATACTGGTAATCTTTTGGCAACAACAACAACAACATCAAGCCTTTATCCCACTATTTTAAAATAAATATTGTTAGCAAGCCTGATAAGCAAGCTGCCTGATAAAGTGCCTCAACGTACCACGGTTCTCTTATCTCCACTACTCTGAATTCTGGAGCAGCTTTTTCCCTCTGCTGCCAGCACTCCACCATAGCACATAAAATATTAAATCCTCGCTGTTAATCTCTAATAAACTATTTTCCCACAATATTATATGTAATCAAGAATTGTGTAACTAAGTGAGATATACAGAATACTGTTTTTCTTAAGTTGTGGTCTTCTCTGTTTTACATTTCTATATCTACATTTCTACAAGTTTATCATGGTATCAAAGCCTCAAGCTTAACAGTTGGCTCTTTGCTGCTCTCCAATGGCAGAGCACAGTGAATCCTCCTCCCCTCAAACAGCTTTGTCTACTTCTGTGGCAATGGTCGACTCCACTATACCTTCATCACTCAAATTTCTTATGTCCAATCTCAAACACATTGTTAATATTCAACTTAAGAATGACAACTATCCAATTTGTAAGCTTCAAATTCTCAAGATGTTTGCTGCTAATGGATTCGAAGGATTCCTCACGGGCACTCAGATTTGCCTGCCCAAGCTGGTCGCCTCTTCTGCTGGAGAGGTCAGTACTCATCCTTACTATTCTTCATGGTAGCTCATGGACCAACACTTTGGAGCAGCCCTTTGCTTGACGATTTCCCCTTCAATCCTTCCATACATCCTCACATTACATACCTCTTACAAAATCTAATCCAACCTGGAGACACATCCTTCAACCTACCAACAAGTCTCGAGTAATCCAGCTAAAAAATGAATTTCATCACATCAAGATGAAATATCTTACAATGACTCAATACCTAGCTCACATCAAAGCACTAGTAGATAGCATTGCAGCTGCTGGATCACACATTGATCCTGAAGACTATCCTCTGCATCCTTAATGGCTTACCTAGCGCCTATTGTGTCTTCAAAATAGCAATACAGACTACAGTTACATCTATCAGCCTTCAAGATTTGTATTCTCTATTTTGGAGTGAAGAAATCAATATACAAAATGGTCACTCCAAGGATTCACTACCTGCAATCGACACTCTTGCACACCATACATTCAAAACTTCTCCCTCACGGCTCCAACTCTGATTTTTCTCACCCCAGTCACGATCGTGGTTCTGTTCTTAGACAGTATCAACCACATAGCATCAACAGCAGCAACTTCAGCAGAAGAGCTCATTTTTCCACAACTCAGCGACCTACCTATCAGATCTGCAACAAACTTGGTCACGCAGTTGCTTCATGCTGGCATCGTTGCAACTTACAATACACTCCAACAAACAACTCTTCTCCTCGAGGACTACTTGCTCAACAACAATCGTCACACTCAATTGAATGGTATCTTGACTATAGGGCCTCAACTCACCTTACAGCAGACCCAAATCAACTTCTGCATCTCACCCCATACAATGGATCTGATACTATCTCCATTGCAAACAGTTATTCCCTTCTCATTCAAAAGGGTGGACAAGGTATCCTACCCCTTCCACATCCAAATTGTAAGCTCCTACTTCACAATTTACTCCATGTACCTTCTTCTCTTACTCATAATCTTCTCTCCATACATAAACTTACTTCTGACAATCATTGTTTTAACTCTTTTGAAGCTTCTGGATTTTCCATAAAGGATCTCCGATCTCGTAACCAATCACATCCTCCTTCGTGATCGCAGTCATAATGGCCTCTATCCAGTGTCATCTAGCAATGGCTTGTCCTCAACCGCACTTCATACTTGGGTCAATTCTACTTCTCTTTGGCATGCTCGCCTAGGACAGCCACATCTATATATCTTACAAACATTAGCTAAAAATAATCTGTATTTATGTATTCCCTCTACTTTTTTCTTATTCAAGTAATGTAATGTAGCCAAAAGTCACAAACTCTCATTTACTACAAGTTCAATGAATTATTTTAAGCCTTTAGCACACATTCACTCTAATGTTTGGGGACCTGCCTCGATTCATTCTCTCAATGGTTACAAATATTATGTAATTTTTATCAATGATTTTTCTTGATTTTATTGGCTCTTTTCCATGAATACCAAAGCTAAAACCTTTCAAAAATTTGAACATTTTACTCACATTGTTGAAAATCTCTTCATTACCAAACTTCAAACATTCAGATCAGATGGAGATGGTGAATACCTTACACACTTTTCAGTGTTTTCTCTCTAATCATGGCATTACACACCAACTCAGTTGTCCTTATATGCCAGAACAAAATAGCCTTGTTGAAAGGAGACACAGACACCTCTTTGATACCACTCAAACCCTTCTACATGCTGCCAATTTTCCCATCAAGTTTTGGGCTGAAGCTCTCCTTAAAGCAAATCTCATCAATAGACTACCTTTTAAAGCACTCCAACTACATGTACCATTCCACCTACTACATGGCCATACTCCCTCTTACAATCATCTCAAAGCGTTCGGTTACTTTTTCTTTCCTTGACTTCAACCACTAACTCCAAACAAACTCCTTCCTCATTCCACATAATGCATCTTTCTTGGCTACTCTTCCTCAAAAAAAGGATATAGATGCTTCAATCCATAAACCCGCAAAATTCACATCTCACATCATGTTGTCTTTTATGAACATGTATTTCCCTATATTTCATCTCCCCCATCTTCCACGACCAATGAAATCATCTTATCACCACCCTTTACATTAATACCAATCTCCACAATAAAACAACCAAACATATCATCACCTCAACAACCAGCTACAAATTCCCCTCATCCCATCCACTACCAATATATCACTCTCCTCCTCCAGCAACGTTACTCCACTTAGCACAGAATCCTCATCAGCAATAATTTCTCCCATCCCACTACCAACAACTCCTCTCTCTCATCCCATGCAATCAAGGTTAAAAACTGGTCACCTCAAGCCCAAACAAATATTCAATCTACTTGTTGTCCCTCACGACACTTTCACTACTACATGCTACTCCCAAGCTGTCAAACATCAACCTTGGCCTATTTGCTATGTCAGCTAAATTTTTGGTTGTCTTTGGACTTACAAAACAAAGGTTAATAGTCCCAAAGCTAGACTTGTAGCTCAAGGGTTCAATCAGGAATATGGAATTGGTTACACAGAAACATTCAGTCATGTTGCCAAGATGCCGACCATTTGTATCCTTCTAACTATAGCTACCAATTAGCAATGGCATGTCGTTCAGCTAGACGTTTCAAACGCTTTTCTATATGGCAAACTTCACGAGGATGCCTATATGAAACAACCACCTGGCAATCATTGGCACACACTACCCAGAATATGTATGCAAACTTCACAAAGCAATGTATGGCTTTAAACAAGCTCCACGATAATGGTTTACAACATTCATCAATTTCCTCCTTGATTTTGGTTTCAGGTTCAACAAGTCAGATATTATAAATAATAAAAACAAAAGCTTGAGGTTACCTAAAAAAACAAAAGCTTTTGTTAAGCTTATAATCTTCTAGGCAAATTTTTTAGCTTTCTATCATCATTATAAGCCTCAATAATATTAATATTTTTAGCACTCATTAAACATGTATTTTTTAAATATCTTTAGAAACTCCTTATTACACGACTAGCGTACAACTTATCTCCTAATTCTCATAAAACTTCTAACTTAATCTTCTTAAAAGAACTAGTCATCTTATCCTACATTAGGTTTGGCTCAACTAAGGAATTCAAATATGTCAATCATAACAACTTATCAAGAAAGATTAATTATTTCTCACATTTTAAGTTCCTTACAATTAATTCTATTTTGAATTGATGGTTCCACTTTTGAAAGTAACAAAGTGCTTGCGTTTCTTGGTATACATCTATATTACTAATAAGATCAAGGATGCCTTCTCCCACTATATTTCTAAATCCTATTTTGTACCCACAATGAATATATTCATAGCTTATCCTACTAGAACAAATATGCCCACTTATGCATCCTTAAAAATTACCCTTTCTTCTTCATGGATACAATGTAATAGTCCATCCATCTCTTTCTTATCTTTAATCCAAGTTGAGGAGCATAAGCCCTAACCACATATAGGATCCATTTGGGCAACTACAGCTATTGGTAAAAATACTTGTAGAATTTTTGTGGGAAAAATAATTTTTTTGAAAGGTAAATATTTAACTTTTAAAACAATAGAACAACAATTGTTTTTTAAAAATCAGACAATAGCTTTATGAAAAAAAAACAAATATTATGAAAGTTTGTAGTAAAATTTTGTGATAGTGTTCGAAACTAAAAATTACATCATGAAGTTCAAACACTATCATTCCCTTAAGTTCATGCCAACAGACATTGCAATTTACTTAGCTTGATTTATAAGATGCATAATCATCCTAAAGAGTCAAAAGAAAATAGTCAACTAGCTTATTTAAAGCGAGAGGCAAACTGAAAATTTTAATAGGCTTCCTTGTAAGAAAACTTTTAAACCATCTGCACATTCATAAACAAAACAACACATAACAAAACCAAGTAGAGATCAAGATAAGTAAAAGCAAAGTTTGAACTAAGCAATCTCAATCAACCTAAATATCAAAATGATAGTTTAAATGGTTCGCACAGACTACTAAATAATGGTTAAAGTTAGAAAGACAAGCTTGTGATAGTTTTATAATGAAACAGAACATAATATTATAATATAAGGTTCCAACATTATCATTCCTTAAGCGCATGCCAAAATATTTTGGAAAGCACTTACCTTGATTTTAAGCTACAAGATTATCCTAAAGAGGACAAAGAAAATAGCCAACAAAATTAGAGCAAGAGGCCAATCTGAAAATATTAATAATATTCCCCAGAATATTAATTTTAAACCATCTGCAAATTCATGAACCAAACAACACATAACCAAAGCAAGTACAGACCTATATAAGAGCAAGGGAAATTTAGAACAAACTCCATCTGTCAATCCAGATATCAAAACGATAAAAAATGCAAACTTTAACAAGTTCGAACAGAATACTAAGCGAAAGAGGGATAGGAAAACTTAGGCCCTTCTCACGAATGCCGGGCGTCCAACAAAAGCCGGAGCAGCGGGAGCCTCAGTCATCTTCTCAACTCCAGGGAGTTCCGCCATGCCAATGGATGCGAGCATGTCCAATGTGTCGGAGTCAACCTCGATGCGTTCGACCTTAATCTCAGATTCCTCGGGGACGAAGTCCATTCGGCGCTCGCGCTCCTCCTCCTGAAGCTTCAGCGATATGCCACGCACAGGGCCGCGCTGGATCCGGCGCATCAGGTGGGTCGAGAAGCCGGCGATCTTGTTCCGAAGCCGCTTCGAAGGGATAATGGCCACTTCCTCCAGAACTTTCTTGTTTGTGTGAAAATCAAGAGTCATGCGAGAATAGTATTTCTCAATTACCTGCCTAGAAGATTTCTTCACGGTCTTTGTTCGAACACGCCCCATCGCCCTCGCCGCCGCCGCCTCAGAGTTGTGCTTAGGGTTCCGCTCCTCTTCGTAACCTTTTCGTTTTAGGTCTCTGAAGAATAAATAGCCTGAAAGGCCTGAAGGCGAAATTTTAAGAAGGGCTTAGAGAATCTAATTAAAATAAAATTTTTAATATGAATGAAAAAGGGAAATTGAATTTGAATTTATCAAAAAAAAAATGCAATTCTGTTTAAGATTTTATAAGAAAATGAAAATCATAAATTAATATGCATTTTGCCATTTTCTATTGAAAATGCAATTCTATATATAATTTTCTAAGAAACTCAAATATTTTCTTGCCATTTCTTCCTGTTAATTACTGTTGGCAAGTAATATTTTATAATAACAGTTAAAAAACGTTAAGTGAACCGATAATTAACCGAAAGAATGTAAGATTTACGGTTCGATGGACAAATCGGGGTTGAACCGGATGATATAATAAATACTAATTTTATTTAAATATAACATGATCTACTTATATTAATACAATCATATAAAAAGTTGACTAAAAATTAAATAAAATAACTGATCATGAAACATAAAATATGAAAATTCTGGATAAAATCAAAACAACAACAATATCACCTAACGACATACATTGCGGCTCCAGGTTCCCGCACGAGGTGGTCGGCCCCGCGACTCCCGATTTACACACAGGATGGCTAAATCAGCTAAATATAATAAAACATTTAACATAATCATAGTATGAAGCTTCAAAGATATAGAATAAATAAATGATGTACTTTTAAAAGTAAATGTATTCATTTTGTAAGCAACTAGGATATTTATTTCAAACATCCATAATTTTTTTCAATGCTTCTACATCCTGAAGATCAACTTGTAGAAAGGAAAAAAATTATCGTGAAATTGATATTGAATCATGATACAAAAAGCAATTGTCCAAATATGTATAATTTGGCACCAGCATGATAGTGAATGATATTCACAAAAAATAAAAACAGGATGCTCAAAAAATATAACAATCAAAATTTTGATGTTCAAAACCATAACAAATGCCCCCTAACATGTGACATAAATGTCATAAAATTTATGAAAACTTAATAGTAATCATAATTTAAGAAAGCTTGTGACATAAATGTCATATAGTTTTTTAAATTTATTGTGCATAAACAGGAAATACTAAATATCCCTTCTTGATAAAGAGGTTATCGTTCTCTAAAAGTCTAAGCAGTCGGTTGATAAGAAAACATGACACAACATATTCATAATTGATATATCATCAAAAAATTATTTTGATCGGGCACAAATCTCAAAGCAAAATCAAGTTGAAAATTTCAAAAATTAAATCCAAGTCCATATGAATTCCGATTTCAGCAAACTTATAGTTGAACTGAACGTCTTAGAAATACGAACCCAACGACATCAAATTCCACCCAATCTGGGCTCATATTGGTCCAAATTGAAGGTCCGAAGCACATTCGAAAGGTTCAAACCATAATTTGGATTAGCGAACAGATTTTAAACATGACATGCTTATAATTGAATTGAGTGACTCGGCGAGACAAATCCAACGAGCCCAAGATCGTAAAATTCTGATATCATTAAGGCATTCAAATGCCTAATAAATGGTCTATAATCAAATGATTCAACATCGACCGTCCATTCAAACCCCTCACAATTTACCCTTGATCTTTCTGCTATTTATTGGTCATGTCACTCTCCGAAAATTATAAATAGACCTCTTATTTCTCATAGAAAGAAGCCCCAAAACAGGGGAAGATGGAGGCCCAAACAAGAAGAGAAGAGAAGAAAGCAAGGAAGAGAAGGAAGAGACTCATTCTCGACCACCGTCAGACTTTCACCCGGCAACCGACCGATGCCGGACTTCTACCCTATCACCAACTTACGGCAAAATTAAGCAAGGAAGCAACAAAAGAAGGAAGAAAATGAAGGGAAGAAAGAAAGCTATATTGTCACCTCTCTTCCTCATCCACCGTCGGATTTCCAGCCGGCAGCCCATCGACATCGGAGTTCTGCCCGAATGTCATCTGACGTCGGAGTTCTACCCATCCACCAACTGACATCAAACGTCTACTCGATGTTGGACCTCGGCTCGCCATCGGATTTCTACCTGACGCCAAACTTCCACCCTTCGTCGATTCCTATCCAATGCTGGACTTCCGCCCATCGTCAGATTCCTGCTCAAAGCCGGACTTTCACCTATCACCTGAATTTCGTCGAACTTCAACCCTATGCCAGACTTCTACCAGACGTCGAACTTCTGCATGTTGCCAAACATTCATCGGACTTCTATCTGACGCTGAACTTATGTCCAGCACTGGACTTATACCCGACGCCGTCTTTTCGACCTCTGTCTCCAGACAACGATATTTATGACCACCATCACCCGCCAACTACGGTCCTTCCGACTTCCATCGCCCACCGAATATGGCCCTTCCGACCAAGCGAACACATCAACAGTGATTCTTCCTGTTTTCACCATATAACACACTTTATATGATGTATATTTGTTACATCAAGCTAAGACCTTCCCCCCAATAAAGGGCCTCATTTATAATCAACTGCAAATAATAGTAGATTCATTCAAATTGGGCTAGGCAACTGGACTCGGCCCCATGGTTTTTCCCTCTTTTCAGGGGTTTTCAGGTGTTTTTTACATAAAAATCTTGGTGTCTCTTGTGAATACTGCATGCTCTCTTTTTATCAGTGTGCATGTTGAATCTTCGTACAACACTAAGACATTCACTACAAGAAAATAGGTAATTAGCGACCAACAAAATTGGTCACTAAAAATGTTTATTTGGACGCTAAAGCAAATAGCGACCAAAAATATTTGGGCCGCTAATTTGTCGCAGTAGCCTCGTCGCTGAGGCTTTTAGCGACCAAAAAATTTTTTAGGTCGCTAAATTAGCGACCACTAATTAGTATTGGTCGCTAAAATTGAAAATATTAGCGTCCATTTTTTGGACGCTAATGAATATTTATTTGGATGCTATTTACTAATTTTAATAATTAATTTTATTTATTATATTTTTCCTTTAGTGACCAAAATAAAAATTGATCGCAAAATGATCAACCAAAAAAATCACTTGCCATTTTAATTTCATTAATTGTTGATATATATATTTATGAATATAAAAATTGTGATATTTAGTAAATAAAATTATTATCCATTTATTATGCATTGGCTATAACAATTAAGATCAATCCATCACTTCTTTATATGGCAATTAATTAAATAAATTACATAATAGAGAAATAATACAAATTTTATTAACTTGAGGCAATAATAATAAAAAGCTTAGAATCAAAAAAATTATATTTATTCATGAGTATCATTGTTAAGAATTTGCTAGGAGAAAATAAAAATTGTATTCATTCATATACTTTTACAAATACATCCATCAATTAATACAAAAAATATAATCTCAGACATCATTAATCATAAAATCTTAATGTTTACAAAATGATAACATCTAATAATGTCTGTAAAGAAAAAGGTGTGTAATCACAACAATTATCTTAATAAAACAATAATGGTCATGAACTCTGCACGAGTGAGGAATGATTGGGGGTGTTAGCAAATTAAACTACCATGATGAACACATACATTGCATGGCCTTTGAACTTGGGGTTCTTCTCAAGTGGAATCTGTGAGTCTCGCAGGAAGGAGAAGAGCTTTGCAGCCAAGGGTGCAATCTCAAGTATCCTATAAATTGTCCATGCTCTACATAATAAAAAGAAAGCACATCCAAGATTACGAAGCATTAACAGATGCCATAAGAATTAATTTCGAGATTATTATAATCCAGCAACTTACATCTGAATCCCTCAAACAATCACTACGAGGAACTTTCGAGCAAATAGTTGCATGTTCCAACCTCAAAGGCTTGACGGGCATAATCAGCAAGGGTCAATTTCCTATATAGGTAAAATGAGCTTTAAAGATCTCATGCCTAAAGAGGTTTACCAATACAGTAAAAAGATTATAATGAAAAAAACTGACATTGAGAATGCTTTCATTTTTTTATATCGGGAAGTGATGATAGCAAACAGATGATAACTACCCACGTAAGAAACAAAGGCCCAGCTTCAGACGTTCCCAAACAAGTTTAGGTGGAAACGAGAAAATCCATTTCCTGAAAATCTTGCATGGAAAGATAAAACCATCTTCACTGATAACAACATGTGAGGAAAAAAAAAAGAAATAAAAAAATAATTAACAAACAAATTACAAATTTTGTAGGCAATTACCAAAAAGTTCACCACGAGAGCAGTACACAGAACAAATATATATTTGTACTGACCTAATAGACCATCATGAACCATGCGAAGAAGATTTTCCAGATATAAAGTTTCAATAAGAATGAGGAGCTGAGCTTTAGCATGAGAGAATGAAGCTCTCGATTCGACTGAAACAGCCAAGTTTTCAATGTTATAGGCACCTCCTAGTATATCCCGCAATTTAACACAATTATGTGGCTTAAGAAATAACGTAACAAAACAACATGGTATGTAGGATAATACAAAAGACTGCAAAAAAACCATCATAGGCTGACCTTGAGTAACGGGGATAAGCTCATCCATTGCACAGCATTGCAGACACAAAAATTATCATAGTAAGCCAGGAATAAAAAATCCAAAATCAGGTTATCTTCAATAATAGTTTCATCCACCCAAAGTCCAACCAATTCAACATCCTGAAGCTAAGCAACAACGGAAAAGAAAATTATTAATAAAAAACAAGAAAACGTGACAACATTAAGCATGTAACCAATATAAGACTTCACCATGATTTATATAAAACCCAAATTTGGCACATATAAATTTGCCCAGTTATGTGCCAAATTTAGCTCAATTTAAAAAAACTCCAAAATTTCAACTTTCATGAAATTCATCAAATTTAGTGGCATTGTGTTATACCATCAAATTAAAAAATTGACATATAGAACTATATGTAAGATTACGAAGGATATACACAAAATATGCAGCTTATCTTACACAACTTGCTAAGCTGCTCTTGTGTTGAACTTGGCATCCAGCACTTCAAAGCTCTATGCAACCTTAAATGACTCAAAG